CTTCCGGGGTCGTGCTAGGGCCGCTGGTTTAGTAACAACATCCCGTTGGCGGCCAGGGTTAAGCTGCGGCGGTGGCGGCGGCGGCGGCAAGGGGAGCTTCTCCAAAGGAACTCCCGTGTGGGTCTTGCCCGTCGGCTTCCTCGCCGACTCTCCTCAGGCTCGACGTCCCTTCCCGGGCCGGGCCGAGCCAAGCCGGGCTGGGAGTGAGGTGAGGTGAGGGGTGAGGTGAGGGGGGGAGCCCGGCCCCAGTCGCCATGGCCAGTAACTCGCAGCCCCAGCAGCCGCCGGCGCCGCCGCCTCCTCCGCCCCAGCCCCAGCCGCCGCCGCCGCCTGGCCCGGGCCCGGGAGCGGGGACCGGAGCTGGAAGCGGCCCGGGCCCTGGAAGCGGGAGCGGGGCTGCAGCCGCAGCCGGCGGCGGCGGCGGCGGCGGCGGCGGCGGCGGCGTTGGCGGCGGAAAAGCCGCCGGTGGAGGAGGAGGAGGAGGAGGAGGCGGCGGCGGCGGCGGCGGCGCGGGAGACCCTCAGCTCGTAGCCATGATTGTCAATCACCTCAAGAGTCAGGGGCTCTTCGACCAGTTCCGCAGGGACTGCCTGGCCGACGTGGACACCAAGGTGCGGGCCGCGGGGGGCGCTCGGAGAGCGGCGGGGATGGAGGGAACGGGAAGGGGCCGGTCGAGGGCCCGGCCTTAGAGGCACGGGGTGGACGCGGGGCCTCAGCTGCCCCGAAGGCGATCCCTGAGGTTGTGGGGGAAGGAGGTAGCCCGGACATTTGTTCAGGAGATGGAGGGGAGATGCCCAGGCCCGAACGGGAGGTGGCTTCAGGGCTCCAGTGGAAATTGGGGCGAAGGTATTGACTGCATTCCGTAATGGAAAGGAACTCTGGCTCAAATGAGTTAGTCTGCTTAAAACGCATGGCAAAGCTTGACGTGCTCTGTGACCGTAACTGTTAACTATTACGTGGAGTCTGGAGTTGTGGTTCAAGTTCTGTTTCTGCTGCTGATTACTTTGCATCTCTTTCTCTGGGTTTTCTAAGATGTGAAGTAAGATTGGATTTCTAATCTCCAGGGTTTTTGTTTTGTTTTGTATTATAATTCTCAAGACCCGGTTATGAGTTGGAAGGGGCAGGGACCATGAGGGGTGAGATTGGGACCAAGCAAAAAGAGGGAACTGACAGGTGGGTTGATAGGAAGAGAAATTCTAGTGTTCCTTGTTTGAAAATGAAGCTGGGATTAAACAAGGAAGGATATTTAAACTTTGACAACGACCCTAGAGACCTTCTCCAGAGGTTCTCAACCTTTTTTGTAGAGCAGGGGTTCTTAATTTGAGGTTAATATTTTGATAACTGTATTTCGATATAATTGTTTTCTTTGTAATCCTATATATTTATCTTTTGCATTTAAAAACATTCTGAGAATGAGTCCCTGGGTTTCACCAGATGAGAAGAGGAGTCCATGACCAAAAAAAGGTTAAGAATCCTAGTTTAAGAGCATTGAATGTTTTGGTCCACCAAGTAAAAACATTTTTATTAATACTTTTTTTAAAAAGTGTGGTTGTTGAGATTTGGGGTTTTGGTTTTTTGTTGTACACTTGTGGAATGAGATTGTTCCCAAGGCATCTTGAGTTTTTTTGTTTTTGTTTTTCTAAATACATATTTTTTTTTCAGAACTCCAATAGTTAACAATGAATCTTTTCTTACTTGTTGCTCAGGGTAATTAGGCTGATTTCCCAAGTCTACAGCCTGACCCTTGGAAAGCCCCTATTAAAAATCTGAGGAAGGCTTTCTTACATAAGAATTGTGATAATGGGTCCACCATCTTTGGTAAATTACTCTACATACCGAAAATAGAACATGTCATTAAAGTTTTTCTAAAGCTCATCTAAAATATAAGAGGCAGCCTGGTGGTGTGGATAGAGTGCCAATCTTGGAGTCAGGAAGACCAGGGTTCAAATCCTAAGTTTGACACATACTAGCCATGTGACCTTGGGTAAGTCACTTGTTGATCCCCATTTATAGAGTGAGTTTCTAAATGAGCATTCCCTGTATTGTACATTAATGAAATCACAGATCCTAATTAGAAATCTTTGAGACATCTTGAGTAATCACCACCATCCCTCCTCTGATACTGCCACTATGCTGGTACAGGCCCTCATAACCTTATACCTGTCTATCACATTGGCTTTTTGATTGGTCGCCCTGCCTTAAGCCTCTAGTCACTCCAATCCATCCTCTAGTCAGTTGTCAAAGTGACTTAAACTTCAGGTCTGACTATGTCAGTCTGTCACCACCATCCCTTCCCCATTTTCCCAACCCCATCACTGCCATGATAAAATGCAAAATCCTCTGACTATTAAAGCCCTTCATAACGTGATCCCTTCCTACTTTTCCAGTTTTATACCTTATGCTGGTTTCCTTGCTGTTCCTCAGACAAGATACTCCATTTCCATACTCTGTGCATTTTCCCTAGCTGTCCCTTATGCTTGGAATTCTCTCCCACCTCGTCTCCACCCCTGGCTTGCCTGGCTTCTTTCAGAATTCAGCTTTAAACCCCACTTTGTTCAAGAAGTCTTTCCTGATCCCTTTTAAGGCCTTTCTTCTGTGATTACCCCCAACGTATCTTGTACATATCTTATTTATACATGGTTGTTTCTATGTTGTCTCCCCCATTGACTTGTGAGCTCCTTTTGCCTTTTTCTGTATCACCCAATGCTTAGCACAGTGCCTGGCACATAGTAGGTGCTTAATAAATGTATCTTGACTTGAAAAATAGACTTTTTTTTAGTCATTGTCAAGGTAGTCCCTAAATAATTTTCCTCAATTCTTTGTTCCCTCTTGCCATTTTGTGGCTATCCTGTTCAGAGTACAGACATCTAACTTTAAGATAACAAAATTGGACTGTAAGCAGAAGTAAATAACTGGTGGTAATAATTTTGAAGTCTGTATCCCAAATGAATAACTTCATAAAAAAATTATAATGAAATTTTAGAGTTGAGAGGGACCCTAATTGGTCATCTTTGACAACCTCCCCAATTCCTTAAGGGGAGGTCCTACTAGGTAGTTTGCAGAATCTGTTAAGCCTCTCTAGAGCCCTTTGTTTGTATCTTTCTTTTCTTTTTGTATATGTGTCTTTACTTCTGTGACTTTCTGTAGCTGTCTTATCTTTTTCCCCATAATACTTCTTTATCCTTTATTCTCCTTCATTGGTTCCTTTCCTCCCTCTCCTTTCTCATATCATAATTTGCTACAATATAGAATTGAAGTATATTTTAAAATATTTTCCATATTTATTTAACAGTATTTTGTCTCCTTTACTAAATATACAAATCAAATGAGTTTAACCTTTTAGTATAAGGTCCTAGGGAAAAATGCATTTTAAGTAGCTTTTATTTTCATGTGGCTTTGGATAGATCTTTTTCCTTTCTGTGGGTCAGTACTCCTGAGTAGGAAAAAGATCCCTTACCACTGCTCAAGAAGTTTTTCTAAAATTTCATTATGTGAACATATTCATGTAATCTTTACTGAACAGAGCAGTGGGAGAAATGCTCCTAAAGATAAGATAACACGTTCAATCCAGCATGCAATAGGCAGCTAGGTGGCACAGTGGATAGAGCACTGGCCCTGAAGTCAGGAGCACCTGAGTTGAAATCCCACCTCAGACCAAACACTTGACACTTTCTAGCTGTGTGACCCTGGGCAAGTCACTTAACCCCAATTGCCTAACAAAAAAAAAATCCAGCATGCATGCCAGTAACAGGAGTTTCACTTTGTTTTAATACTTTTGTTCATGCACTCTCAGGTCCGTTCAGACTGCCTTCTCGTTGTCCTTCACAGAGGACACTCCACCTTCCGTCTCAGTGCTTTTGTACAGGCTGTCCCCCATACTTTCAATGTACTTACTCCTCACCTCTTAGAAACTTGAGTTTCCATCAAAGTTCTGCTCCTTACATTCCACATGAAACCTCCCCTGCTGAACCATCCCCAAGCTACTAGTGCCTTATCCTCAAAATTATTTTATAGCTATGTTACGTATGTTTACAGATGTCCAAACCTGCAATAGAATGTAAACTTCTAAAGACTGTTTCCTTTTTGTCTTTGCATCCCCTATGCCTAACACAGTGTCTGTCACATAGATTGATTTCAACAAGTATTTATTAAGTATTTGTGTGTAGAGAATTGTTCTAGCACTAGCAGGCAGACTGAGTTGCAAGGAAGACAGTTACAGACTGAGGTTCAAACTACAATACTCTGAACTATTGTAGAGGTCTGAAGATTGTCTTAAGAAGGCTAATTTGGGGGCTTTGGTGATCCTTATATGCTTAGGGAGACATTCTCATTTTCTCAGACTATTTCAACCTTCTCTTCCTCCCTTAACCTGCCTCAGATGAGCTAGAACTCCTAGACATCCTTTGAAACTAACCCATCTTGTGGAAGATCCTACTGATTAGGAATGGAACTGGGTTCAAATGGAGATATACACATTTTACAAGACCTGCATTGCTTGGATAGTTTTAATATTTCAACTATTCTGGTATTTGGCATGGATATTGACACTGATTAATAGGAGAAGTCAACCCACTCCAGTACTTTGCTCTGAGACAACCAGTGAACAAGTAGTGGTGTGGAATGGTACTCCTGTGTGGTGAAGTAGAATAAGCTTTTTGACACATTTAATGATTAAATTGGGTCTCTGCTCAGTTTGATTATAGTCTAGATTTGGCATATTAGACACAACTATCAGGGAAGAAGAAAAATATTCAAAGGAAAATACTACCAATAACTTTTAAGTTTAAAACAAGCAGTAGTTAAATATAAAGAATACCTTTATTATTAAAAAAAAAACAAACAGGTAGTGCCATTAAATTAATTCCTTCCATTTGGGCAGCAGGTAGAACAGTGAGGTAGCTTTGGATAGACTTTCCACTGAAAGTAAGAATTGGAAAATGACAGGTTAGTTCAAAGTTGAATGAAGGAAATGTTGCTGGGACCAAAGGGAGTAAAAACATTTAAATTTACTCCCAAAGGTAATTTGAAGTAGTGGGCATGATTGAAACTAGTGTTCGGCAATGGAAATGAAGCATTTTGAATTGAGTGGAATAGAGTTTTGCATTATGGTATAGAAAAGAAATAATTTTAATCCTTTTTTGGATACATAGCACATTATGTTCTAGTTCCATTCTGTATGTGTTTTTTAGATCTGTTTCTTGTATCCAGCATATTATTAGGTTTTATTTTCTTACCCATTTGGCAGTTTGCTTGCTTTATTGGGCTGTTTAATTCACTCATATTTAAGGGTACTATTACAGGGCTCCTTAATTTCCTCTATTTCTCTATTTTTAAAAAATGATCTTAATGTATGGAGATGACATTTATAGTTGTTGCAAAGGATTGGGGTGGTATTTCACATTGATTTGGATTATCAGAAGAAATCCTTCTTCTAGGGAGGAGTGGTAGTGAAAAAGGTTTTGATAGTGATTTCATGGGTATTTCCCATGAAGAAACTCTTCCCTGAGGCAAATTGGCAGTTATTTTGAATTTAGAGAGTTGTTTGATGGCAGCGAGTCAACTCTGGTCACTGGCTAGTTTGTGTCGGAGGAAGGACTTGAACCCAGGTAGTCTTGACCCCAAAACTGGCCCTCTATCCACTTCTCCATATTACCTCAGCAAAAATAGCAGAGATACAAGAAGTATAAAAGAATAAAAAAAACTCATACTGAATTTTAAGTAGGTGTCATATATCTGAAAGCTAGCTAAAATAGAATTTCAGTGAAAGAAATTAGTAGCAAAGATCCATTAATTAGCCAGGTTGAACCATTAGCCCAGTAGAATGAAGTTGGGAAAATAATAAGTGCCTCAAATTAAGCAGATGTTTAAACTGCCTTCTGGGTATTTCCATCTGAGTTTCTTCCTGTACCTAAGACATATAACATGTCAAAAACCAAGCTCATCATTTCCTTCAAACCAGCCTCTTCTGACTTGCCTAGCTCTGCTTATGACCCCATCATTCTCTCAAGTTACCAAGACTCCAAAACTTTGAGATATCTGTGACTACCCTCCGCCCTCCTCCGTACTACATGCACACGTATAGTTGCAAGTCCTACTTCCTCCACATTGTTCACGTTTCTCCTTTCCTTTCTGTTACCCCTGATGCTACCCTATTTCAGGCATCCTTTGCCTCTTGTCTGGACTTTTAATAGCCTTCTAAGTGATCTCTCCACTTCTGATCTCCACTCTTTTTTTTTCGTCTCTCATACTATTTTTTCAAGGCATAGTATTCTTTGCCCTAAGGAATGGTGGCATATTATGAGATGCCCATGCATGTGATTGATTGCAAGTGTGAATTCTCTCTGATTCTCAGGATACTTGTTCTTGTACATGGCAGTTAGAAGTTTAAGTTCCATACACTTGGCAGAACTTGCTTGGCACATTGGAATGCTGTTTGAAAACCACTGCTCTATCACATCTAGTTCATCCTTCATGCTACATACAACTGGATACTTAGATTAGTTGTTCAAAAATAAAACTATGATCCTATCATTCCCCTGCTTTAAAATCTACCACGGCTTTCTCTTTCTTGCCTATGTAGTTAAAAAAAAAAAAAAGACTGAAAAAGAAAAATGACCTTTAGAATTGAGGGGTGTAGCTTGGAATAAAATTCAAACCCTTTGGTATAACCCCCCAAATCTGATCTTAAAATTTCTTTCCAGCTTTCTCTTAGTTATTCACATCCCTGAATATTCCCTGTTCTTTCCTCTGACAGTTTGTTTATGCTTTTCTCTCTGCCTGGAATGCTCTCTCTCAGTGCCTACCTTTTAAATTCCTTTCTGTCCTTTAAGACCCAATCTAAATGCCTTCTCTTCTGTGAAATCCTTCTTGACCATATTCCTCAATTTCCATCCAGACATGATCTCTCCCTTCTCTGAATTCCCATAGCAGTTTGTACCTATTTTTGATATTTGTGACATTCTACCCAGTGTTATAAAATTTGTATGTGTGTCTTATCTCCCCTACTATATTGTAAGTTCCTTAGTGGTAGGGGCCATTTCTTGCTCATTTTTTATCCCTTATATTGTCTTCTACATTGTAAGTGTTCAATAAATATTTGCTAAATAAATGAGTTGCTCTGACATGGGGTAACATTCTCCTGGAAATTTTTTATTATTAATAATATAGTCTTAGGAATCATTTGCTGTTAAAGATTTTTGAATTCCTGATAACATCAGTTTTAATATTGTGTACCATTTATGATTTTCTTTCTAGCCTGCCTATCAGAATCTGAGACAACGTGTGGACAACTTTGTTTCAAATCATTTAGCAACTCATACATGGAGTCCCCACCTCAATAAGAACCAGTTAAGAAACAATATTAGACAGCAAGTTCTCAAGTAAGTGTCAGAATTGTTTAAAAAAATAGTTCACATGCCAATTTTAAAATGTCACAACCTACTTTTACTTTAACATAGTTACACTGCTCAGAAAAGTTTGTTTACCAAATGATGTTAGCATTTTATCAAGTTCTATAAGCTAATGTCATATGACAGCATAATTTTAGCAGTGTTCTACATTCACTTTTAACATTTTTTTCCTAAACTGGAACAGTCTACTTTTTTTTTCTATGGACCCTACTGGCATAACTAGAGGAGGAAAGAAGTTCTAATGGGGGAAATAATATTTCAGTAAGTCACTCAACTAGTTATTAAGCAACTACTATGTACTAGGAACTGTGCTAAACATTGGAGATACAAAGTAAGGCAAAAGACAGTCCCTGCTCTCAAGGAGGTCACAGTCTTTTAATGTAATTTAGTCCATTTGATAAATTTTTAATTAAAAAATAGATATTTTTAATTTAATTCAGCAATTCAACAAGCATATATTAAGTGCCTACTATAAAATGGGTACACACTGGAGAAGGAAATGGCAAATCACTCTAGTATCTTTGCCAAGAAAACCACATGGACAACATCCATAGGGTCACATAGAGTTGGACAAGACTGAACAATAACAACAATCACATGCAAGGCACTGCTAAACACCAGAGAAACAAATGAAAATTGGTAATCCTACTCAAGGAGGATTACGTTCTATTAAAGGGGGAACAGTAGTCTTAATACAAAGTACGGCATCATGGGAGCAAAAATGAGAACTAGACAAGTGGCTTATCCAAAAATTTGTGGTGGAAGAGCATAGTAGAGCCTTCTACACAGACGTTTATCCTTTGGAGGCTCAGGTTGAGAGGAAGAAACTTATGTTCAAATACCTTCATAAGATTTTTAATTTTTACTTTGTCTTATTCTGAAATTTGTATTATTCATGGGCTTCATTACAAAGCTTTTAGTATAGCATTCGTTTATTCTTTTTTACCTCATAGAGCAGTAGTTTAAGAAAAAGGTATAGCCATGGTATTTCATGCTCTTGATCATTTAAGATTAAAGGGAAGCCTCAATTTTTATTTATTTATTTATTTTTTTTGAAAAATCATTCTGACTTCTGACCACCAGTAGAGGGGGGAAAAAGAAACAAAGAGAAAAATCTTAAAAGATAATCTAAGACATTTTATTTAAGAAAAAGTATACTGATGATGTTTTGTTTTGTTTTGCTTTTTCCACAGAAATCATTTCCCGACAAAAGTACTTTACAAAGTACGTTCCTCAAAAATAATTAAGCAAATTGCTTTACAATAGGGCTTATAGCACATCCATTGTAATGCATTTCATTTTGCTTGGTAGACATGTTAAGAGACAGCATAGTGTAGTGGAGAAAGTGCTAAAAGTCCCACCTCTAATACTTACTAGCTGTCATAACGTCTCTGAGCTTTGAAATTTAAAGAATTATATACTGACTTAGAGCAAGTTTTGATCTTCCTTGGTAGAAGTAACACTACATTTTCAGAATCACAATTCCTTAATATATTGATGTGTATTGAAGCTCATCTTGCTTATTAAATGGGTTTAAAGGCTCAGGTGCAAAGTCACATGAGCTTTGGCCTTAGCATTTCAAAAGGATTTTGAAAAAACTAAAAAAGTGTCCAGAAAACATGCAAAAAAATTATTCTGGTGAGATATATACTTGAACCTTTGAACCTAACGTTCAAAGAGTTTTTTTATTTTTAAAGAAAGGACAGTGGGATGACTTAATAGCTGTTGAGCAAAAAGTGATTATGAAAGTTACCCATCTCCTTATAGAACCAAACAAGAATGTGAGTTTAAATTGAATTGAGAATTTCTGGTTAGGTGTCCAAAAAAAGGACTATTACATTAAGGACTATAAGATTAAACATTGGAATAGGCTACTCAGGAACATTATAAAATCTTTATCCATAAAGAAACAACCTAACTATGTAAGTTTAGTAGGATAGACCACCAGCTATTTTAGGTTTAAACATTGGTGTCTGGAAAAGATAACTTCTTTTAGTTATTTATAGTTCTTTGACTTATTAAGAAAGTCAAAGGTTTCATATTTATAAAAATATAACATCACTTTTTGTAATATTTGTGGGTGCCCATCATTTGGGAAATGACTGAATACATTGTGATATGAATATAATATATTTTTTACACCATAAATGTAATCAGTATGAAAATTTTATAAATTTTAAAAAGCTTGTGTGAATGGATACAGTGAAATAGAACAAAAAAAACTAATTTATACAATTACCTCAGTTGTTTAAAATTTAAAAGAAACTTACATTGAAAAATATAGGAACTCTCATTGTAGAAGACTGGCAGTGAAATACTGCCTTATGCCTCAGCAGAGAAGCAGTGGACTATAAGTGTAGAATTAGGCATGTGTTGTCAGATAATATGTGTGGATTCATTTTGCCAATTTTTTCCCCAAAAAGAAATGGTTCTATTGCGGGGAGTAAAATTCTGTTGGGGAGTGAAAACTAAGAAGGAAAACAACATTAATAAGGCGTGTTGTTGTTAATTTTGTTGTTGTTTTAAAAAAGTAACTCTCTTGGATTACCTAGATTCCGTTAAGTGTGCCTTTTTACATGACCAAGTCACTTTGCGCCTCTCAGCCTTGATTTTCTCAACTGTCAATTAGAAGTATTATTTGTACTATCTCGCAGAGATAGAGATAGTTGTGGGGAAAGAACTTTGTAAACCTTCAATTGCTGCCAAGAAAATATGACCTATATTATTACAGTCTCATTAACCAGATACAGTTTAGGGGTATTCAAGAGAAATGTTTAAGAAATCAACTGACACAAAAATTGCAAATGATTTGTTATACATACTGAAAAATGTTAAGTTGACTATAACTAGACAGTTTACCCAGTAAAATACTTCTTTCTGCTTATATACTCATTTATGGCATAGTCTAAAGATGGTAAGCGTTTCTGAATAATGAGACTGAGATCTTTACCGAGCAGAATTAATGCAGCCATAGAACAAGCTCTGTAGGATCAGGGTGACCATCACTAGATTACAGTAGTTTCTGAGCTTCCAATATTGCAGTGACTACTTTCAGATTTTGTTATGGAGTAGGGGCTGCTCACTCAAATTCTAGAGCTAAGTTCATGCTGTACCCAGGAGCCTTTCGCAGTGCTTATAGGGCCCTTGACCTTCACAACTTTTCATTGTTAGTTTAAAAATAAGATTATGATCTGAGGAAGTATAGAAAGAGGATTTCTTTTTTTTTTTCCTTAGACGTAGGAGGAAGGGGATAAGGGGGAGACTTTCTTTCCATACCTTTTAAAATATATGTTATACTTGTACTTTGAATTAGAATACTTTGAATTACTTTTAGATTGTGTTTATCACTTTTCTATATGCTGCCTTTCCTTTATGTGTGTTTTAACACAGAGCTTACATTTGTAGAATTTGCATCTTTATTTTAGTCCCTTTAAGAAGCATGTAACCTACTTTGTGGTATGTTAGTTCTTTTTTTTTATTTCCTGTGGCCCATATAGCTATAATCATAGAGTCACGGGGCTGGAAGGTGCTTCAAACGATCATCTAGTTCATCACTTGACTCCAGACAGAATTTTACTCAAAATATCCAAGAGATTTAGTTTTCTACTTTTTCATTTTTTTTTCCTTTTTTCTTTTAAATCTCTTACTCCTTGCTGCCCTATAGCATCAGAGGCAAGTTGCCCCTTTTTCGTGTGCCATGTGTGCCTTGCCTACACTTGTTCCTTCCATGTATGCTTTTCTATTTGGGTCATCCCCCATGTGTGTCTTTTGTGGAGTCTTTCCCCACTGAGGCTGGGTGTCCTTGTGAGGAACTACCTCAGGTTTATGGGGAAAGATTTTTTGTTGCTACTTTTCTTACCATGCAATTTCATAAAATACCTTTGTTTAAAAATATACCTAGTGTTTGCTTTCTAAAGAGTAAAAATGTAAACTGCTTAATTTTTAAAGAGAACAGGTTCATCACTTTCCTTGGAGACCGTAACACTTGCAAATACTTTTATTTCTGTGCAAATGATTTTTAAATTCATAAATAATCATCAAGTTCTTTTAGACTCAGTACTGATTTTTAGTGACTATTTGCTGTTAAGTTTTCCTTCGTCAGCCACTGGCTAGGGCAAGTCATTTTCTAAGAATCAATTATATTGAGTTACTTGAACTCTAGAGCCATTACTCACTACCTTTCAAAAGAGAGTTTAAGGTTTGTGCTTTAAATATTTTGTTTTCATTCTTCAAATGATGTTCAGATATTTTGGATGATGGGAAGGATGCAAAATTTGTTGTGCCTGAGAACCATCATAAATACCATGAAAATCTTGTTTTCCTCATTAGCCCCTCCAAAATCCTGCTTGGGCTAAGAGGAGGAAAATCGCATGTGATCATGCAAAGAGTGTGTATAAATGTATGGTATTTTAAAGAGGTATGAGAGTGCAAGGTGAAGTGTAAAGTTATATGTAATTTTAGCTACTTTTCTTACCATGCCATTCTCTTTCCTCCTTAACCAACCTCCAGAATAGGTTCAACTTTGAAAGAACTTAACATAAAAGAAAAAGAATGTGGTCAGTTAAAAGTAAATTTCATTTAATCTCTGTTTCAATTTTCCTGTTTCAGGTCAGGAATGTTGGAGTCTGGTATTGACCGAATTATTTCTCAGGTTGTGGATCCAAAAATCAACCATACATTCAGACCTCAGGTGGAAAAAGCTGTTCATGAATTTTTGGCCACATTAAATCATAAAGAGGAGACAAGTACCAGCACAACTCCAGATGACGAAAAACCAGATTCTTCCATCATAATGCAAGGTATTACTTCTGTTCTATAAATTTGTATACATACCACCGGCTCTCATTTGATTTGAATAGTGTTTGAAGGGAGCATCATTTAGAGATAATGTCACTAACAGTTGGGGGTATCAGGAAAGCTTTTTTTGTAGAAGGTGGTTCTTGAGGCAAGTCTTGAAGGCAGTAAGGAATTGTACAAAGCAGGTAGTGCATGCCAGACATGGGGTATGACCCATGCAAAATTGCAGTGAAAGGAGATGGAGTAGTGTCTTGTGTGGGGACAGCAAAAAAGCCAATTTGATTAGACTAAAGTGTGAGGTGAAGAATGGGACTGGGAAAATACATTGGGATCAGACTGTGAGGGGTTTTAAAGCCAAGTAGAGGAGTAGATAGATATTTGAATCTAAAGGCTTATAGAGAGCCACTGTAGTTTTATTGAGTAGAGGAAGAACACAGTTCCCTACATTTAAGCAGCCTTGTAGAGGTTGGACTGAAGTGGAGAGAGATTCAGTGGAGACCAATTAGGAAGACTTTGTGGTAGTTTTTAAGTGATAGATAATGTGGACCTCTGAACTAAGGAGGTGGCCCTCTAAGTAAGGAGGAAAAGGTAGATGCCAGAGATTTTGTGGGAGAAGACACACGCACAGTTAGAAATGACAACAAATTGGATATACGGGGTGAGGGACAGTGGATGGAGTCTTCACTAGAAATAGGGAAGTTCAGAAGCATGGAAGCATTGGGGGAAGCACTTACTGGACATATCGAGTCTGAGATGTCTCTGGGATCTCCAGTTTGAAATAAAAAATTTGTGATGCTTCAGAGCTCGGGAGAGAGAGACTGGGGCTGGATATACCAATTTGGGAGTCATCTTCAGAGACTTAATTAACCAATAGGAGCTGATGAGGTCACCAAGACCAAGTGTAAGGGAGAGGACAGAGCTTGAAGTACACCCCCAGTGTTGACCCTGTGAGGTGGGGAGTAAAAGAGACTGAAAAGAAGCAGTCACATAGATAGGAGAAGAACCAAGAGAGACAGGAGAGAGCATTCAGAAGGAGAAGATGGTCAGCAGTGTCAGTGCTGCAGAGATGTCAGTGAGGGTAGGAACTGAAAAAAGGCAATCATACTTAGCAATTACGAGTACATTGGTACCTTTGGAAAGAGCAGTTTTAGTTAAGTCAGAAGTCATATTTTAAAGGGTTTCAGGAGTGAGTGAGAGAAAAGGAAGTAGAGGCAACTGTAGGTGTAAACAGCTTTTTTTCTAGGAGTTTGGTGGGAATGAACTGAGCCAAATACCATTCTCATTAAGGAAGAAAGGGACAGTAAACTAGAGGTAGCCAATCAATAAATATTTAAGTGTTTCTATGTTACAGTATTCTGGGCTCTAGAGATGCAGAGAATGGCAAAAGACAATCCCCTCCCCTTCAAGAGCTCACAGTCTAATGGGGGAGACAACATACAAACAAGCTATATATAGGGTCAATCAACAGAGGGAATGTTGCGATCCGAGAGATTGAGAGACCCCTCAAGGACTGAAGTATAGGGGTCATCTGGAACGAATTCACTGACTCAAGCATTCTTTAAGTCAAGGTGGCAAATATTTATTGTTAAGCTATACAGCAGGCAAAGGTCCTTAAGGAATTCTGCCATGGTGGGCAGAGCTCCTTAGGGAACTTACAACCTAACAGGAATAATGCTAACGCTTATATAAGAAAAGCAGTGCATTATGTGCCAAGTATGCTAATTAGGTGATAACATATAGCTACATCATTCACTAATGGAAACTGGAAAGAAAGGGTTCCTAAAGGGTATGTTTTTGGTCTGTTGTGTCTGGAACAAGGTAGCTTCGGGAGTTGACATCTATAGCTTGACCTCTGGATTGTATACGGTAACTGTGGGCATCAGTACTTGATAGTTCTACTGGTATAAGATAGTCCTGTTCATACAAGGGAAATTCTACAGAGGTCAGCTTGTTCTGTAACAAGGAGAGATAGTTTGCCTCACTGGGCCCACTCATGAGTTACTGCCAGAGATAGGGTCCTTGGGCTGGAAGGAAACTGTCAGGGATAGGGTTTGAGGCCAGGGAGAAATTGGGATCCAAGCACAGGCACCCAAGCACCCCATCAGGAAGATACTAGAATTAAGGGTTGTGAAAGGCTTCCTATAGAAGGTGAGGGTTTCCGTTTTGGCTATAAACTCTGAGGGTCTTCGCCTCCCAGATTGATTTTTTTTTTTTGACTAGGTAAAAGAGGCCTCATTTTCTACCAGCCTTAATCGCTGAATGAACTTTGCCTCATTCAAACTAATACCTGTTAAAGACCTTAGCTTAAAAAGGCTAAGGTCTCCCACTACATCCGGGGCCATCTCCAGTAGTCTTCAACTATGTCTTGTTACTAGGCCCAAATGGCTCCGGAGGAGAAAGTGAGGCTGGTGACTTTGCAAAACCCTTCCTCACTTAAATCCAATTCAGTTGCAAGTCGTGGCATCACCTTCCTGATGTCATGATCCTCTTCGAGAATGAAGGACAAACAGCAGTAGAAGGTGGGATTTTATCTGGGACTTAAAGAAAGCCCAGAGGTGTGGTGATGAAGCTTTTGTGCATGAAGGACATCAAATCTGGACAAGGGGACATAGGTGGATGGAGTGAACTACAAAGTAGCCAAGTGATGATGTCAGAGAGCAAGGCTGGAAGAGGATTTAAGGATTAAAGAGTGTACCAACTCCTGATCCAGTGTGTTCTGAGCACAAAGAGCAGCCTGGAGAGGGTGGTAAGAGATGAATTGTCTTCATGAGAAAGTCAGGTTTCCCCAAGCACCAGATGATTGAAAGTGTTGCATGATCCTTCCTCTTTCCCCTTAAGGGGAGGAACTAGAAAAAAAAATTATAGAAAATGTTCTCTGCTTCGTGTCTAAGAACTATTGCTTTTCAGATATATATAATGATAGCAACCATGAGCTATCTATAGCCCTGAGCTCCTGAAATGTAAGCAGAAAAGCACCTCTGTACAATACATGTGACCAAATGACCACATAAATAGCCTTCCTATCTAGTTATCACTTTGCGAAGCTACATATTACATCAAGAGCCCAGAGTCTTAACTGATTTTTTTTAATTAGCCACTGTTCCAACTCTGTTGGAATTTTTCCTCAGAGTAGGAGCTCTGAGAGTTGATAACTGTAAATGCCTTTTTAATCAGATTGAACTTCTAAGAAACCCTAACCTCAAATCTATTTGTTCGATGGACCTTTTGTTACTTGACTAGACCTTTTATTCCTCTGTTGTGAGCTTATTCGCTCTGCCCCTTTGGAGGGGAGTGAATAGTCCTTCTGTCTTTTTTTGGTCCTGGGAGAATCGACTTGTCTGTTATCTCTCTTGGGCAGTAGGGACGTAGAAGTAGCTTTTGAGAAGTCACGTAGCAAGGATAGGTTTGTTTGTGTTAATTGGCCTTATGAGAACCAGTTTCCAGACCATTGGATGAGTTTATGACTTCTGAGGCCATACTCATTTACTAATAGAAGAAACAATACAAAGAAGCAGATCGTGTCATATACAGGGCCTTTCCTCTAAAGAACTCGAGGTACCACATAGTCAAAATTCAGTTGACATAAAATCTGTGCCCAAGAAATTAAAGACGCACATAGTAATGTAATGTCTGCAGAGGAGTTGATCAATTTTTAAATAATGTATTAAAAGTCTAGTATGTGCCAGGAGTTACTGTTTTGTAGATATTGATAGTCCATGTTTATAAATCATTCTATAGTTCACAGTTAATTAAGGAGAACTGATGTTCTCTATGTGTAAATCCTTTACTAAACTTTCCTTCATTTTAAGGCGTTCCTACTGCTGGGTCCAGTGCTAACGTAGCTAACGATGCCATGTCCATTTTGGAAACTATAAGTTCTCTTAATCAAGAAGCAAATGCTGCCAGGGCATCAACAGAAACTACAAATCCCAAGACCACTGAAAGAACATCAAAAAGACTTCTATCTCAGCCAAGCATGGATGCTGGCCCTGATCGAGAGAGAAACACAGAAGACATAACAGACAAAGACAAATGCCTCTCTGACCCATTCATTGAAGGACTTGAAACAGTCTCAAAGTCAGAAGACTTAAATGATCTCCCTAGTCCAGTTGAAGAAATAAAAAATCCCATAAAGGACAACAGTAGTTTGATTCTACCAAACAAAGACTTCCTACAGGAAAATAGTGACCAAAAAAATAAACTAATAGACAAAGGGGAAAAGAAACCAGATAGCAATGAGAAGAGTGAAAGAAAAAAAGAAAAGAAAGAAAAAACTGATAAGAAATATGACCATTCTAAAAGAAATGAAGATATACAGAAAACAAAGGATGAAAAGCAGTTAAAAGAAAAAGAAGTAGAATGTGCAAAACAGCTACCCTCAGAGAGGAACAGTAATAAACTTAAGACATTTGATGGAACAAAAGAAGGTATAAAAATTCTGCCCAAAGTATGTTGTAGTTGCTTTGCTTTGCTTTTTGAAAAACTCAGATTTATGGAAGGTGCCGGGATACATAAGGTCTTAAAAATTTAAGTCCCTTTTTTCCCAGCTAATACACCATAAATTTCTGTTTCTTTTCTACCTTAATTTGCTTGTTTATAAAGTAAGCTAATATTTCTTTATTCAGATGCATTTGTTAATTCAAAGCAACTCCCCAAATGTAAATATTACATATTTAATTCCAATTTTTTTGTAGTTCCATTTTAAGTTAATGAAGTTTTATTGTCTTTACAGGTTGATTTATATGCCATTTAGATTTTGGTGCAAATAACTCTATATTTTATTTTCTCAATGGTAGTAATATTTTAAACTTAAAAAGCTCAATTTCTGTAATTATAGTTTCAAAATATGTGAATTTTTAAAAATTTTTATGTATAAATGGTTTTGAGAATTTCCTAATGTCAAGATTTCCTGTTTACTTTTTGTCTGTGTGTTTTTAAAGATTGTTCTTTGATAGATTCAGATGTGGATGGGCTTACAGATATTACAGTTAGCTCTGTCCATACCAGTGATCTCTCATCGTTTGAAGAAGAAAGTGAAGAAGATGCTATAGTTTCAGATAGCACTGAAGAAGGAGAGATTACATCTGATGGTAAATGCTTGCCACATATAAACATATGTATTTTATATATACAATTTGGGGTAACTTACAGAGTTCTATTTAGTGTTTTGTTTATGTAGTCACAAAATTGAATTCTAATTGCCATTTTTATAAAACATGCTTCTAAATGTTAAATGCTATTCATAAGTTGATATCACCTTTCACAATGTCCTCTACTTTGTGAGACCTAGAAAGGAAAAAGAGTTCAAGGGAAACATTTAAAAAGACAAGGACAAGGGGAGAAGGGGTGAAATAAAATGGGAGCAGTTGCAGGTAAAGAGGAATGAACAGGGAAATAGAAAAAAAAAAGGAAAATGTTTATGCTCTGAATATGTTCACCTAGGCCTTCCCAAAGTCCTTTTTTTCACTTTCTTTTCCCAACTCTTTGCATTTTTTACCTATTAAAAATTCATCTGGAGCAGCTAGGTGGTACAGTGGATAGAGGACCGACCCTGGATTCAGGAGGACCTGAGTTCAAATCCGGCCTCAGACATAGCACTTACTAACTGTGTGAGACTGGGCAAGTAACCCCATTGCCTAGCTATTAAAAAAAAAAAATTCATCCATGTGCACAAAAATATACCAGTTTTATGCAACTTCACTTTGACGTTAGTCCTGTGGAAGACTGAATAAAAAGAAAGCTGGTCATCCTGTGAAAGCACAACACTATAGTCAGTTAATAGAAAGTTTAGCTAATGACTTTTTAAAAATGTTTTTAATTTATTTATACATTTTTTTTTTGACCTAACAGATACTTCTTAATAAACAGACCTCTTTTGACTTCTGACAGTATGAGCGTACGTTGACCATTACATTTGACTGGAGTTTTATAACTGTTCAGTGTTAATATTTTGTATACCTTTGTTTTGATTATGCCTTTATCACTTCATAAAAGATCTGCTATGTTTCTCTGAATTTTTTTACATTTGTCATTCCTTATAGAACAATACTATTCCATTACATGATGTGTTCTTTTGTACACAATTTCAAGTCTTCACAGAAGTCCCTGGTCACTGGAACCTGGTCTCCATTGGAAATAAAGGCATTCAAAAAAACAAAACAAACAAACAATAAATAAATAAATAAAGACATTTTAGATTACTGAGTAGTAGGAAATAAATAACTTACTTCTTCACTCTCAACCATACCACGTAGAAAAACACCAGTCTTCATATATGTGTAGTCTAATTTTTTAGCATATTTAAGGTACTTGTTATACTTGTTAGGTTTTAGACCTAAATGAGAAAGGATTAGACTGTCATAAAAGTTTATGTCAGTTTAACTAAAGTACACCTTATTGAAAGACCTCAGGTGAATTCATTTCATTCAACAGACTTTATTGAATGCCTTCTTTCTTAGAGGCACTGCTCTAGGCCCCAAAAAAGCATAGAGGTGAATAAGACAGTTGCTGTCTCTCTTCAAAAAAACAACATAAATCACTTCTGAAATTCAGTTTCCTCATCTGTAGAATAAAGATAATACTTCAAAAAAATTACAACTCAGTAGGGGGATTAAGATAAGTACACAGATCACTGTAAGCAGAAGGTAGAATTTAAATGTGTAAGACTACCACATGTGAATAGTTGATTATAGGGAGATTATTAAGTCATGTCTTGTAGTAAAGGAAATATTTTTGTGAATCCCCACATGCAATTTTTGCTTTTGAGGGATATATAAAGAACTCTTGGGTCATACAGAAGTCAAATGTGGTCATTAATCAATATACTGTTGATTTTTCTGCTGACTTACAGATGCTTTCCTCTTTTCATTCAATTTATTCTAGATGAAGAAAGAGAGACTAAAAATAAAGCAAAGCCTCAGGTTAGTGAGCCTGGCGAAGGAAAAGCAAAAACTGTCCGGCATACTTATGTGCACCGGCCTTATCTCTACTCCAAGTATTACAGTGATTCAGATGATGAGCTGACCGTAGAGCAGCATCGGCAGTCTGTTGTAAGTCCCCATTCTCTCATCATTCAGCTTCATCTTCCCAGGCTGTGAGTCTAGTAAATAAAACCAGAAAGTGGGAATGAGATGTAGGGAGAAGAGTAAAGTAGAAGAATGAGTCTGAGCTATGGCACTTACTAGACAGGAAACCATGAGAAAGTCATTGAACCTCTCTTTGTGTCTGTCTCCTTTTTGTCTCAGTGGAGAATACAGGTTTACCACTTAATCAGTAAGATTGTGTTGAAAGCACTTTGTGAACCATCAGATGTCATACAGATATTCATAAGGAATATAAGAGACAGTTCTTACCCTCAAAGTGCTTAAGGGCGAAATGACATAAATGTGTGAAAAGTTCAATGAAACCAGATTTGAAAAGCATTTCAGGACCATAGATCAAGATTTCATAAGGCAGTACAAGATTACTTAACAGATACTCATGGAAAAGAGTTGCTGTAGGAGCCCCAAAGGTGGAGAGATCACTTCAGGCTCCAGTGGTGAGGAAAGATTTTGTGGGAGAGACTGGTTTTGAGCTGTGTCATGACTTACTGAATAGGATTTGGAGAAGTAAAGTGGGGTGGGGGTGACAGGTGTGAGCAAAGGTAGAGGTGGCAAACTGTAAAGTACATTTCCAGAGCAGTTAGTAAACCTGTTTGACTGGAACAAAGAATTTCTACAAAGAAGAAATGGAGTGAGAATACTAGAAAGGTAGATGGGAAAAACTTTGTACTTTTTCCAGTTTCAGTGCTATAGAAGGGTACTGGCTGATGACAGCTACCCATTTGAATCATTGTAGGGATAAGAAACATGACTGCAGTAAGAAGCAGAAAGACATAGTGGAAAGAGCACCAGAACAAAAGTCAGAAGACCTAGTTCTAGCCCGAATTTTGCCATTTACTAGTTTTGTGACCTTTAATAATATATTTATTAATCACACATTATGTGCAAGGTACTGTACTAGGTTCTTGGGATACTAAGAAGAAAAACAACATAAATCACTTCTGAGATTCAGTTTCCTCATCTGTAGAATAAAGATAATAATGCCCAACACTTAGCACAATATTCTACACACAGTAGGTTCTTAATACAGTTTTTTTGTTTGCTGTTAACTGCCCTGCATCACAGGATTGTAGTGGGACCCAAATAACATAAGAGAATATGAAAATGTTTTAGAAACTATAAAGCACATCAAAATATGACAGTATTGTCATTTATGTTATAGGTTAAATGATTTCTCATTAGAATCCATAACCTGATTTTTAAAATAAAGTACTTTTTAAGATCCTAGAATTTAGCTCCATTATTGCCTTAAGCTCTCAGAGCTGTTTTTCTTTGCAGATTTATAGTACCATCTGCATTTTCTAAGAGGAAAGGTGATGGTAGGGAATTACATGTAAAAACTCAGTTCAGTTATTGTGGAGTAAATTTAGTAGAGCCTAGATATCTCTTATAACATTCTGCATTTACCTTTCACTAAATAGAACTATTTGGAGTATACTATCATGATAACAGGGGCTCCACCTTCCTTGTCTGTGTCTTGGAAAGATTTTTTTTAGTCAGAGTTACCCATACGGAGTCCCAGAACATCCTGGAAGTCAGAGACTGTACGCTGACCTATGGCTTGTTTTTTTGTTGTTGTTGTTTGTTTGCTTGTTTGTTTTTAGTTCAGTTAATGAAAGAATAATTGCGGAACTTTTTTTAGGGATCTTTAGTTGTATATGATAGTTACTTAAGGAAGAATCGTGATGAAATGGTTTTGTGAAAATTATAAAAAATGACTTATTGAAACAGTAGACTTTGTGATATGCTCACTTCTCATAGGGATTGTGCTAAGTACAATATTTATTTAGTTACTACTCTTTTGGATTAAATCATTCCTTTAAAGAATTGTTGAAAACCTTTAGATCTGCTTCTCCTACTCTCCTGATAGGTGCAGGCACAGATATACACACTTGAAAGCATGCGCACACGCACACTCACACACATACACAATAGTCATCCTCTTATGCAAGAATTCTTAACTTTTTTTAAGTCATGGACACCAGTGGCAGTCTGGTAAACCTCCATGGACCCCTTCTTAGAATAATGTTTTTAAATACATTAAATAGGATTACAAAGAAAATCAATTCTATTGAAATAATTATCAAAATATTGAAAAAAATAAGTTCATAGATATCAAGTTAAGAACCCTCTCTTCTAATAGTTCATTGTCATGTGACAGTGACCCTATGCTATCAAGATGGCAGGACTTCTTATACAACCTGGAGACAGGCTAACTATATATGTTCATCATTTGAGGACTAACCTGTGTAAATACAGAAATATACATCACCAGATTGAGTTAAGGTTGATAAATTTTTTCAGTCTCAGCAACTCATTAATGATATCTACTAAGCCACAGAAGGGTTGCTATCTGCTTTGGTGATCAGGAGCATCCACACCCAAATCGTAGATCACTGAAATATATGCCCAGACACACACAAACTTTTGTTGAAAACACATATTGACAATAACTTAAGACAGCTTCTTCCACTGCAAATATATTAACCAAATTCTGCCCCTAAACAGTTGTTGTTCTACATTTTTGTAGGGTTTGCCTAACAAGTTGACAGGATGACTGTGAATACTACATTCTACTTTGTATTTTAGGCCAGAGAGAAAGAAGAAAGACTTTTAAGGAGACAGGTTAACAGGGAGAGACTTGAAGAAAAACGTAAGCAGAAAGCTGCAGAAAAAACAAAATCTTCAAAAACCAAGAGTCAAGGTACTAAAGATAATTCATTTTTAAGATTTTAATTTTTTTTCCCTTATAGAAAATAGTAGTAGTTTAAAAATATTGTGAAAGGAAAAGGAAAGAAGTTCTTTGGCTTTTACCTATGAAAGTTATAGCTTAATGAAGCAATGAAATTTATTTTCATGGGAGTTAGTGAGTGTGTCATAGTCATATATCTGTGTCTAACTACACATGTGTATATGTATGAGTATTTATACATTTATAATTACCTGTCTACATAAATACATTTTTAAAGTTAATCTTTTAAAGGATGATATTTGAGTCTTCCTCCGATCCATTATGGTATGGAGGTGACCTGAAATTCTTAAAGGCTATGTTAATCAAACATAGGAAATGAAAGTTTCCACTAAGGCTAGAAAGGCTTCAAATACAAGACCAGCAACAGATTTCTCTCTGTTGTCCAAAAATCAGCTAAGTGTGGAGTTCCTCATCACCAGCAGGTTGGCCACTGAGTGATGGATTCTTTGGCCATGGCAACTCATTCAAGTGGTACTTCAATAACATTCTATAAAATACTTGCTCTTTAGGTAATGTGCTTTAAAAAAAAATGTGATTTCTTAATGATTACAAAAGAACTTGGTGAATATACAGTGAAGCTAGACACTTGGTATTCACTAATATTATCAAGTTTTGCTTAAAGACAGCTAAAATGTGACATTAGACAAACATGAACATTTTATTAAAATAAACAGAAAATTGCTATTAGCTGTGTACCTGTATGTTATTTGTCATTTTGGTTTGATTTTATTGAGCTAGACTGTAAAGTGTTAATTTAAAGTAATGAAACATTTATTTAGCTTTAGAAATGTGGAAATTGATAAAGATAGATTAAGATTTTCAAAAGGTTTTATGTTGTTTAAAATATAACTTGAAATTGTTATGGCAGTTTCTGCTAAATGGCCTCTATAATTCTGTTCAACTCTTTAAGATTCTGTAATGATATTATTATTGACACTTTTATCAATTCTAGATTGATTAGAAAGCATTGATGGAAGATTAATATATTTGACTTTTTAAAAACTGTTTTCTAAAGTTTATGTTGACTTATCCTAGGCAAAAGTAGTATGGACTTGGACGAGTCATCTGGAAAAAATGTGGAATCCAAAACTACCAGAACTAAAGAAGTACTTAAAGAGCGAAAAGTTTTAGAAAAAAAAGTAGCTCTAAGTAAAAAACGAAAGAAAGATACAAGGTACATTTTTTTAAATGTAAAATATGTTAACCTTCACAACTGTCATGTATTCCCATGGTACCTCTTCACTTTGTAGCATGTTTCACTGAGGATAGACTTACAGAGTTACAGATTAAGAAAAATACTTTTTAATTTTTATTAACAGTGTGATTCCCTTTAATTTGCATACTGCTTGTATAATTTATGAAGAACCTAAAAGTTTTGCCTTCCTGGTATCACAATGCCTACAAGTAGGGCTTATATGGTGCCAGTATCTAGGCAAATCTAGTTATTCAATAAAATACTTACTTCAATAAGCCAGTGTTAAGTACCTGTAGTATTCATGGTTATTGATAATAATAGATTACATTTATGCTTCTATAAATAAAGGATCCAGGATTGCAGTAGTATCAAGTCTCCTTACAGATTACATTTGCAAGACAAGTATGTGTAAAACCTTGTAGATAGCAAGTATTGTTTGTCCTCATCTTATAGATTAAAAAATTAAGGATCAGAAACGTGACTTGCTGCCGCAAGCTAATACATCACCAAAATTAAACCTAGGTCATCTGACTTCAAGTTCAATACTCCTGTTAAACCAACAAGCCTCTTTCCTTAATCTTATCTTTTTACTATTATCTTCTCTTCTTTTTTTTTAAACCAATAACCGTGAATCCAATTCTCTTTTATTACTTCTTGGTCATTGTTAACAATATCCATCATAGCCTAGGTAGAAGAGGTAGTAAGAAAATAGCTTTACTTTGAAGTAGGTGTAGGCAAATTTCATATTTCACTGATCAGGTCAATCACCACCCTTACTAATCACTGTGCTTCACTTACTTAGAAAGGTTTAACATTTTAAAAGATTGATTTTAAAATAAATAATTTACCTGTTTTGAATAAATTTTGTGATGGTCAATTCTAGAGACAAAGAATACAAAAACATAATCTTTTGTGATTTTATTTGGTTGTTCTGTTTGGAGAGCCATTTTGATCTTTGGAGTATTTTACTGTCAGAGAAACTATGCAAAATCAATAGTAATGTCAGTTTCAATAGGCAATAAAAATAAAAATGGAATTTGGCTAAAAATAAGACACTTAAAAATATATAAAACTTACTGAGTTAATGTTATTAAAGATCTAAATCAATAGAGAGGGAAAGGTCTCAAGAGTTAATTCCTAATGACTCAAAGGAACAATAAAGAAGAGGGAGAGAGGCATTATATAACTAGACCAGTGTGGGTACGTAGAGAATTCATCAACCAGTTTATTTTTATTACTTTTTGTTTTAAGACAAATGTGGAAGATGAGTGAATACAGGAGTATGGAATGGCCCTACAAAAGCCATGTCTCAAGTACTAAAGCTTATATGAGGCTGATGAGAAAGGATAAAAACAGTGAAAGTGTTTTGGATTTTTTTAAACCTATTTTGTTCTTAGAAGATCAGAAAAAATACTAAGATTGTTGCTTGGAGTGAATGGGACATGACAAGGGACATGAATGATAATGCCATAAATGAGACATAAAAGGTAATGAATAATGAAAACAGAATTATTAAATTCTTAATTTACTTCTTTTTTCTGCCAAGGAGAATAATCTTTGGAGTAAAAAAAAAAAAAAAAAAAAAAAAAAGAAGAAGAAAAGTGACTAAGATAAATAGGGAGAAAATGAGGAAGACCTCCAGCTACTGTACACACCCATTGGTAAATTTATAGGACATGGACAAGTGTCACATCAGATGGAAAGGCATCGATGGTTTGCAGTTTACGTAGTTTGAGGAAACAATCAGGTTGAGATCACAGATCCATTTTTGTATTTGAGTGAGGGAGATAGCAAGAGAGCACTTGCTCTTTATTAGTTAATATCACAAGCCTCCATGTCCCAGAAGGTACGTGGAAGGAAAATGTCAGTAATCTTTGGTGAATTGGGAGGTGTGGATGGTCATGGTGAATGGAAGATGTGCCACTGGACTGGAGAAGGGCAAGTGCCCTGATTTTCAAAAAAGGAAAGAAGGTGGATCCTGCATTTGCCAGTGAAGTTGACTTCGATTCCAGGCAAAAATCTAAAACATATTATTAAAAAGATATTTAGTAATCATCTGGAAAAGGAAGGTGGTAATCACAAACAGCTAACAAGAACAGATGTCAGACTCATTTCCATTTTTGTCAACGTTATTAGACTCATAGATCAAGGGAGTGTTGTAGATATAATTTCTCTTGATTTTGAAGAGCACTTGACAGTCTCTAATGAAATTCCCACAGACAAGTTGATGAAATGAGGACTAGTTCAGTTACATTGATATGGGACTGAATAACCAGAGCCAAAAAGTAGGCATTATTGGTTTCATATAAGGTTTTTTGTTTAAAAGGTCTGTGGTAGAGTTCCCCAGGTATCTCCTTGATTCTGTGCTTTTAAATATTTTTCTTAATTATTTCTATAAAAACATAGTATGTTTTGGCATGCATGACATTTCAGGTGCCATGAAGCTGAAAAATAGTTAATACGTTGGATGACAGTGTCAAGATCCAAAGAGAACTTGACTAGATCTTAGAACTGAATCTAACAAGAAGAGATTTACTATGATGTCTTATCCGTTGATTCAGAAAACCAGTTTCACAAGTAAATGTTTGGAGAGGCGTGGCTTGATGTCAGTTTGTCTGAAAATAATTTATGGATTTAGTAGCCTACAAGCTCAGTGTAAGTCAGTGGGTGGTCTGAAATAACAGACCAAAACTCTACTGTTATTGTGGACTTAGTCAAGAAAGAAGGCATAGTGTCCAGCACTAAAGAGCTGGTAGTCCTGCTTTGCCTGGTCAGAACATATGTGAAATTCTATGTTTAGTTATCAGGCCTTCCACAACAAAGAACATTGTTAAGCTGACTAGCATCCAGAGGAGGACAGCCAGGATGCTGAAAGGACGTGAGATGAGGCCATATGAAAATGGCAAAAAGTATTTTGTCTGGAGAAGACAGAGTACTGATGACAAAACTGTTATCTAGCCATGCCTTTCAAGTATTTGAAGGGCTGTCCTGTGGAAGACAGATTTGATGATTCTGCTTAGTTTCAGAAGGCAAAACTTACAACAATGACTGAGGCAAATTGAGGCTCAGTATAAGGAAAATCTTCCTAAAAATTAGAGCTACACAAAACTGGAGTGGATTATCTTATAAAATATAGAAGACATCTTCAGAAAAGGCTTGATGACCATTAATCTTTGTGTCAAAGGGATTCTTGTTCAGATGTGAATTAGACTAAATTGCTTCTGAGGCCCCTTCCTGCATTGAGATTCTGAGATTCTGTGGTCTGGCATGTTTAACGTCAGCTATCTAGCCTCTCCCAATCTGGATAATTGGTCTGGTTTCATTTTATTTTTTTAAACAACCCTTTGAGGTACAGCTATGACAGGCATAATTTGTCACCGTTTTACAGATGAGGAAATTAAGGCTTAGAGAAGTTAAATGATTTGCCAAAATATGAACTAGAACTTGAAGTTGCATTTCTGGCCTTTAATTTCAGAGCTTTTTAACTTTGTCATGCAGTTTGCCATCATACCAGTACTTGAAATAACAGAGGTGCTATTTTAGGTATAACCAGTCCAGCAATAATTTTGTAAATCATAGTTTTTTAGGTTGCAATAATTCTAAGAAATTTTTATCTATGAATTGAATTGAAACTGCATTAATATTTATCATTTCACTTTACTATTTCAATACCTAGGCATACTGATGACAATTCTAAAAAGAAGAATTCTGAAGAAGACCCCAGAGAAGCACTAAAAACAAATGAGGTATGTCATAACCCTTTAAAGCTTCTTTTTAATGCCCTGTTTTAAAAAATAACTTTGGGGAGAAAACTAGTGTGACACTCCTTTTTAAGTTAAAATTTTTTCCTATTAAGCTATTTCCTCAGGAAACCATGTTGGGTGTATCTTCATGATGTTGGGTTTTTTCTTTATTCTTTTTTTTTTTTTTTAACTTCTACTGTTCCCTGATTTTTAGTAGATACTCATAGTGCTTTGTTTGTAATAATGTAACTAAAATGTCTTATAAACTTCCAAAAGGAAAAGAATTTCAACAATTACTCCTTTCTTGTGTGGAGTAAGACAGAAGTTTAACCCGTGCCCAGTAAATTGAAATATAGTTCTTTGTGTAAAGATCAATGCAGCATCTTTACTTTCTTGCAAATATTTATTACTGTGTTATTTAATGTTTGTTATATTATTTTGTTGAAATTGAATTCTCAGTTCTTTAAAGAAAGTAATACTTTGACTGGAAATTATGTAGTATGAATTATTCAAATGAGATCAAATTAATTTCAAAATTTTGATAATAAGAGATGAAATTTACTTTTGTTCTATCTTTAAGAAGATGTCAGCAAGTGTTTATTAAACAACTACTGTGTACCCAGTAATGCTTGTAAAAGCAAATGAGTCAGGGGCAGCTAGGTGGCACAATGAATAGAGCACCAGCCCTGGAGTCAGAAGGACCTGAGTTCAAATCCAGCCTCAGACACTTAGCAGCTGTGTGACCCTGGGCAAATCACTTAACCCCACTGCCTAGTCAAAAAAAAAAAAACCCAACAACAAAAAAGCAAATGATATGAAAAAAATCACAAAGGCATAGATATTTTTGTAAATATATTTTGTTTTAACACAAGAGACACTGCCCAACAAACATATGATTGATACCTTGCCACCTCCCACCCCACATTGTTTTGTTCCCAACTCTTGGTTAGAAAGGAGTTTAAAAAAAACAAACCACAAAGCACTGAGGAATTAGGGAGTGGGGGTAAGGAGGGGATTTCAGTCTGTGTTAGTGGAAGGAGTATCCAGATAGATGAAATCATAGATCCTTGGAATATTGATGTAAATAAGTAAAATCTTTAAAAAGCATTAAAGGGTTAATTTTGTAAAATGAATAGATTTTGTGAGTTTTTAAAAACTAAAATTATGAAAGGCCATTTAATAAATATATCTGTCTGTCCTTAAAAAAAAATGGGGTTAGTATTTTAAGAGAGAAAAGAATTCTTCTAAAAGACTTTAAGATACTCTGTGAAACAAATGGATCTTAACTGTTTATTAAACCAAGCCTGCTCCCGAATTTCTGGTGCTTAAAGAAGGAATTAGTTTGCCTTTTAATCTGTATTTGAATTATATTGAAACGAATTTTCTTTAATTAAGATGTCTTACCATCGCATTGAATTCAACAGTCATTCTAGGGAAACAAAACCAAAACAGTACCTGTCTTCAAACATACATCCTTTTAAGGAAGCCATGGATGAGGAATAATGCAGGACCATAGATGTAAAGCTGGACAGGACTTCATAGGCCACTTAATCTAACCCCTCATTTTACAGATGAGGAAACTGAACCCAAGAGAAATTAAGTGACTTGCCCAAGATCACACAGGTTGTAAATGATATGTACCAAGATAAGTAAATAAAAGATAAACATACAGATAGATCAGTGGATTGATTGATTTACTTAGATGTGAAAAGAGTGCTAACAACTGGGGGCAAGGAAGAATACTTTTCAAACAGACAAATTAACAAATGAAGTAGCACAATGGATAGAGTTCTGGGCCTGGAGTTGAGAAGACCTGAGTTCAAATCCAGCCTCAGACACTTACTAGCTGTTTGACCCTGGGCAATTCATTTAACTTCTGTTTGCCTCAATTTCCTTATCTGTAAAGTGGCGCATAATAAGTGCTAAGTAAATGTTGGCTATTATTATTTGGGTTTTAATCATAACTGACATTTATATTGCATTTTAAAGTTTGCAAAATTTACATGTTATGTGTGTATGTATAAATATACATCTATATGCGTATATGTGTGTATGGGCATATATATAGTGAGAGAGAGACTGAGTATACACAGATACACACATAGAAAATTTTAATTGAGCTTCAAAACAGTCTTTCAGGGTAGGAATTATTCCAATTTAAAGATGTCCACTACACCAAAATGCTTCTTTAATTTGGGAAATTCAGAATTAAAACCTATAGTCTTTAAGTCGATATGAATTAGCTGCTGTCATCATTACATTACATTGTTTTAGTGACCTAAAATCATAAATATCAACTCCCTAAATGAAATATGTTACATGAAAAAGAAAGGGCATTTTTTAAAGTATCATATTTTTTTTTCCTTTTATAGCATTGTGAAAAGGTATCCTCTTCAAAGGATTTGAAGCACATTTATACAAAAAGTGACCCAAGCAAACCTGCCCGGAGACTTTCTGAGTCATTACATTCAGCTGATGAAAACAAAAATGAATCCAAAATGGAAAAGGAACAGAAAAGACGGATGTCTACCTCCTTTCCAGTGGAAGGAACACAGCAAGACACTGACATAAGAGATGCTAAAAAACATTTGGAAAAATCAGAGGTGAATGTTGAAGAAATTCAGAAGCAAAAGATTACACCTAAAAATGAAAAGCATCTTAAGAAAGATGATTCCGAAACACAACATTTAAAAAATATACCCAAGAAGGAAGTGAGATCAAACAGAGAAAAAACTGAAAAGGAGAAAACTCTATCAGAAGATAAATTATCTACAAAACATAAATATAAAGTAGACATTCTACATAAAACAAGTGATGAGACTGAACTCCATGCTTCTGAGAAAGTCTTGAAAGGAGATGAAAGTTTTCAAAAGCAAAGTCAACAACCAAAGGTTTCTTCTGATGATAAATCTGACAAAAAAAGCAAACATAAAAATGAACGGAAAATATCAGTATTTAGCAAAGATGGAAAAACAGTTTCTGAATATACTATAAAAACTGATGAAACTGTACGTAAAGAAAATAGCAAAAAAGATAGACATATTTCAGCTGAAAAAGTTAAATCAGAACACAAGTCAAGAAGATCAAGTGATTCTAAAGTTCAGAAAGACTCTCAAAGTTCCAAACAGCACAATTACACAAGTCAGAAGAAAAATGAAAATTATTCAGACGATAAATGTGATATGGAATCAACTAATTCAGATAGTAATTTGAAAACAGAAGACATTGTTCACAAGGAGCGAAGAAGAACAAAGAGCTTAGTTGAAGATAGATTTTTATTAAAGTCTAAATCAAAAAGTCATAACAAGCCATCGAAAGCAAATGAAACAGAATTACAAGAAAGTGTCACAAAACAAGCTACTCAGAAGACTGAAAAAGAAAAAATCTTAGACGAAAGCGACACCGATAAACAACGTAAACCCAAAAGTGATGATAAAGTTCTAGAGGAAACTAGTGTTGACTCTGAACTTGAAAGCACTTCCTCATCTACACTTGGCTCACTGAAAGATGCTAGTCACAAAATTAAATTCCCACTGGGAGAAAAGGCATTCACAAAAGAAAAACATAAGAGTGATAAAGAGTTGAGTTCTAGGCTTGAAAGGAAATTATCAGAAGGTCACAAAAGTAAGAGTTCAAAGCATAGTAGTAAGGAAATTAAAAAGAGGGAAGAAAACAAGTCAGATGAGAAGGATGGTAAAGAAATTGAAAATAATCATGAAAAGGCTAAGAGCAATAGTTTAGTCATGGAAAAGAAATTTAGTAGAAGGCTATGTGAAAGTCGAAGAGGAAGTTTATCATCACAAGAATCAACCAAAGGAGAGGAAAAGTTATCAACAGACAATATTCCCTCTCTTCAGAAACCACGAAAGAGTGGTGATAACTTATTAATTCCTGGGCAAGAGCCAATGGAAGTTGATACAGAGCAAATCTTTGTAAATGTTCTTGAAGTCTCTAAAACCCAAGATAAAAGCAGCATTAGCTCAGGGCAAGAAATTGGATCTGAAAACATTGTAAAACTTAAAACTTCACCCCTAGTTCCAAGTGATGAATTAAGAACCATTGCAAGTGATCTAAAATCAGTAGATTCCACCTTTAAATCTGAACATCAGTCAACATCTGGCAGTAATTCTGAAAAGAATATTGAACATGAAAATACCCTTGCTAAGAAAATAAATATTCCAGGACTTGTATCCAAGCAAAATTCTGAAGAGAGAGATTCCATTCAGCAAGAAGCACATCAAGGGGGTAAAGACCCTGAAATCAGTCATGGAATTTTGCAAAATGTCCCTTCAGAGAATGATGACACGCAGAAGAATTTTACAAGCATAACCAAACCCAGTGAGGAAAGTGTTTCTCCATTACTCAGTTCTCCCACTAAAGGAGAACCAACCCTTAAACATTCCATAAACACAAACTCCTCACAGTGCTTAGTTTCTACAGCTGGTGTACCTGAAGAAGACTTTCATAATTTAGATAGAAGTTCTTTAGCTGAGGAAAGAACTGTTTTGGAATTTGAAACAGCAAACACTTCATACATAAGCCACTCTGCTGTCTTGGGGACAAGTTTGAATATGAAGGAATCTGAAACCACTGAGTTGAGCAGCAGCAACATGGAACATGATCACAGTTCTTTCACAAGTCAGCCAACAAGAGAAAACAGTGCTACCATTGAAAACATTAAAGAAAGTGATCAGGGAACTACATTAGACAGTGAACAAGAAAAAGAAGAGCATAAAGTATCTCAAGATAACTTGAAAACTGACATGATTCTAAGCAATGAGGATGTTAACACAACAGAATTTGTCTTGACAAAAGTAACTGATGAGGGAAATGACGGTATAATTGTAGACACTAGTTTAGAACAGGATATGAATGCTGTTGTAGATACTGGCAAGAAAGAAGAATGTGATGCTGATTTTATAATAGAGCCTACTATAGAAAAAGATGCTATAAGTGTTAAAGCTACAGAAAATACGAACATAAACACTCTAATTATGAGAAGAGTAGAAGAAGCAGAAAATGTGGTAACTGATGTTAAAGGAAGGAATGAAAATAGTGAGGTGGGCACCAGTGCAGGAGGTAATGAATTCATTCCTCTACACCAAAGAAAAGAAACAACTAAAATCACTATAGTAGGGATTAATAAAGTGGAAAAGGTTGCTGTTGCCACCAGTACTGAAGAAAAAGATGAAGCAGTTACCATAGACTCAGTAAAGGCAGGTGATGCTACAGCAACTTCCACAGGCAGAGAAGAAAGTGAGGTCACTGTATTTTGTACAAGTATTGAGGCAGATGAAGGCTTTGTAACAGATATATGCACTGCAGATAATCGTGTTCCTATTGGAACAGAAGCTAATGAATGTACTGTTGTTGCAGCAGCTGAAGAGGGTGGTGGTGTCACTGAAGGATTTGCTGAAAGTGAAACTTTACTCACTAGTACCAAGGAAGGAGAAAGTGGAGAATGCACGGATGCAGAAGAAAGAGATAAAGACTCTGATAGAGCTCATACAGTAAAAATGAAGGTTAATGTAAATAATGCTGAGACAGAAGAGAAAGATGATGCTGTTACAAGTGCAGGCTCTGAAGAGAAACGTAATGGTTCCTCAAGCAGAAATTCAGGAGTAGTTGAAGGTACTGTTACTTGTATAAGTGAAGTAGAAAGTGATGGAGCTGTAACAAGTGCAGGCACAGAAGTAACAGAAGGATCTTTAAGTAGTCAAGATGTAGATGAATTCCAGAGAAATATGATCAGAACAGGTCCCCAAAAAGAAACTGAAGGTACTGTGACATGTACAGGACTGGAAGGAAGAAGTGATAACTTCATTATTTGCTCAGTGACTGATGCAGAGGCACAGGAAGAGAGTATGGTTACTGGTGCTGGTGTAACAGCAGTAGATACTGATGCCACAACTGGTGTAAGTGTCAACCAAGAAGGTGAAGATTCTGTAAATGATGGTACAGAAGGTGAAAGTGCAGTCACTAGCACAGGAATAACAGAAGAAGGAGAGGGGGCAGCAAGTTGTACAGGATCTGAAGATAGCAGTGAAGGCTTCCCAATAAGCTCTGAATCAGAAGAAAATGGAGAGAGTACAATGGATAGCACAGTGGCCAAAGAAGTCACTAATATCACACTAATTGCTGTTGGTCCATGTGATGATGAGGGCATTGTGACCAGCACAGGTGCAAAAGAAGAAGATGAAGAGGATGAGGGTGTTGTTACTAGTACAGGCAGAGGAAATGAAGTTGGGAACACTTTAACTTGCACAGGAATAGAGGAAGAGGTTGAAGGTGCACTGACTTGTCTAAGTGCCGAAGAAGGTGAGAACTTGATGATCTGTACTGTTATTGAGCATGTTGAAGCTGAAGCAGGCATGGCTGTCATAAATACAAATGACAGTGGGGTGGATAGTATGACTAGTGCAGAAAAAGAAATGAACCATGGAATGATCTACTCTAGTGCAAAGGAGATTGTTGAAAGCAGTGTGACCAGTGCAATTTCAGAAAAGGCAGACATGGCACTAATCCCAATGGATACAGAAGAATGTGATGGTCCCATGACCAGCGCAGCTATAAATAATGATAGTCAGCTTACTGGTGAAGAAAAAGATGAAGATGCCACAATTTCCACTGGTGTAATTGAAAGTGATGAGGTTTTAGTATCTGAAGCAGTCCCAGAATATGAAGTTGAGCACATTCTTCCAGCAAGTGAAAATGACGATGATCTTTCCACTGTGGCCAGTGAGAATAACAAAAATCAGAGTATTTGTGCTGGCAGCGAAAGCAAGACTAAAGGTTTGATGATTTCTACCAGCACTTCAGATGAATATTGTATCCCTTTACTAAGTACAATTGCAGAAGATAATGAAAGTCATTGTAGTACAGCAAGAATCAAAGAAAATGATGGGATTGTTGTAGAACTTGAAGAATTTGAAGCACCAATGCCCAGTGCAGTTATAGAAGATCAAAGTCAGCTTTCTGCTTCAGGAAAAGCAGAAAAGGATGAGTGTGCTATGATTTCTACAAGCATAGTGGAGGAGTTTGATGCACCTATGTCCAGTGCGGCTATAGAAAATTATGAGGTTCAGCACCCTATTGCCACAACTGAAGAAAGAAACGAAAACATCATCTCTGTAGCTGCTGAAGATTATGAGGCACCGATGTCCAGTGCAACCACAGAACTTGAAAGGCAGCTTGCTTCTACTAGCAAAGATGAAAAAGATGAATGTGCACTAATCTCTACAAGTATAACAGAAGAATGTGAGGGGCCTGTTTCTAGTGAGGTTGTTGAAAGAGAAAATGAACATCCTGCCACAATAATAGAAGAAAAAGATGGGAATGCTCTAATCTCTACCAGTTCAGGGGAAGATTGTGAGGGACCAGTGTCTAGTGCAGTTCCAGAGAACAAAGATCATCCCCCTGCCCATACAGTGGAAGAAATCAATGAAACTTCCATGATCTCTACCAGCACTACAGAAGAATGTGAGGTAGTCATGACCAGCACAGTCCCACAGAATGAGGATAGACTTACTCCCACAATAGCAGAAGAAATAAATGATGGTGCCATCATCTCCACAAGCACAACCGAGGAATACATAGTGGTTGTGACTAGCCTAGACAAACAGGAGATGAATCAACCTGCTGCAATAGGTGCTGAAGAAAATGAGAGCTCTTTTGTGGTATCACCTGAAAAAGTAAGAGAATTTGAAGATCCCATGCCAAGCATAGGTGCTGAAAATGATGACTCTCAAAGTCCTAGGCCAGTTGTAAAAGAAAAAGAGACTAGCACAGTGATACCAATAAACTCTATAGACGAATATGAAGGTTCTTCAGATAACGAGTTCACACAAGAAGAAAAAAATAATAGCTCCTTCAGCACTGTAAATATAGAAGACAAAAGCATTCATGATGCAGAAAAGGAAGTTGGAAATGGTGCTGCCACAAGCAGTTCAATAAGGAATACTTCAGCCGTTACTACAGAAACAATTCAGAACTCACTGGTGAATCAGAGCAGAAATAAAGAAATGTCTGAGGATGTGACTAAAGACTCTGTAGTCAGTATTTGGTCTTCTGCAGCAGTAAATGTCAGTCCTGAAAAAGCTGAAGATGTGCCAGATGCCAAAGAAGTAACAGCAAAGCTTTCTGGTATTCCTTTGGAGGAAGTAAAGCATAGTGACTACTTGAAAACTGAAAACCCTGAGTGTATTAGCGACCTAGGGTCAGAAATTATTTTTTCTAAACCCATGATTTCTCCTTGTGGTGAACAGGCCTCTCTATTAGCCCCTAAATGGAATAACAACGTAACTATAAATAATAATCACAATGCTGAACTAATTTTTGAAGCTACAGTAGAAAAAAATAGTGACCATGATGGCATAAAGAACTTAGTTGAGGTGGAAGAAAACCTTGGAATTAACATTTCTTCTATAGAAGATGTGAATGATGCAGGTAAGAATCTATTTTTTTATTGTGGTAAAGATGTTGTTGATGTTAGTAGAATGCAGCTGTCTTTGACTTAGCAAGACCTAAGGAGTTGCCTTAGGTAGATGAAGGTTAAATGACTGTACCAGTTTAAAAGTGTTAAGCAGAAATCAAACCCAGGTCTCCCTGACTCTGAGCCCAGCACTCTATCCACTATGGCAACTACTTTTTAAAATATAGCTAGAACTTTGCTATAGTTTTTATTTGATCATTCAGTTAAGATACATAGTGCTTTATAAAACATACCAAACAGACAGTAGAAGGCCATTTGAAATCATAATATTAACAATTTAAGTCAAGAGACCTAGTCTGATCTTCCACTAATAGACTGTATAAATTTAGGCAAATTAATGTTAATTTCTCATTTCCTCTTACATAAAATGATATAGAAAATGATAGGATTAAACTAGAAGATCCTTAAGGTCCTTTGTGATGTTGTCTAACATTCTGTGATTCTCAGTACTAACTGAGTTATACTGGGTGAGTCATTTTCCTTCTCTGATTATTGGTTTCCTCATTTCTAAAATGAAAATAATAACACCTATTTCATAGGGCTCTTGTGAGGATCAAACGAAGTAATGTATGTCCTGCACTTTGAAAACATTATAGAGTTAGGAGTGTCAGTTGTTAATTGCATGGCTAACTCCCAGTTATATAATAAAGTAGTTCTGTTTCATCAGTTTTGAATGTCAAGCTATATAACAGTTTCTAACATTAAAATTATCTTAATAGCTCTTTCAGTACTCTTGTAAATAGAGGTTTGAGACAGAAGTGGGCCTAAAAGTTATTATATCAACCCTACTTCTCAGTGGTGACTGGTTCAAAGCACTGTCTAGTTCAAGTTATAACTGCTATGATCTAAACATGTGACCTTAGGCAAATCCTTAGCTGCTCTGTAAAGTAACTTCTGGTTGTTGTGACAATCAAATTAGATCTGGCTACAAAAAAGCATTTTATAAAATACAGAGCTGCTTTACTTGAAATGGGGTGGGGAAGAAGTTGGATGTAGCAATAATGATCCTTCAAAAAAGAATGCCATTGAAACATTTCAAAGAATAGAAGGGAGCAAAAACAAACAAGACAGTTTTAAAACTAATGTAGAATTTATCACAATTTGTCCTAAAGCAAGCATTTCTTATACAATCTCTTTTTTTGTGTGTTCTATATATGGAAATGTTCCTTTTTTGGTGTAGACAGAACAAAAAAATAAAACATTTTATCTTTTGGACTGGGAAAAGACCGTCATCATATCTGCTAGGTGGTAACTTGAAAAAAATCATTTCAGTTAATTGATATTAAAAGCTAGATTGTAAAGGGTGAGGGAGGCTTATTTTTATAAAGGTGGTTTTTTTTTTCATGTATTTAAAAGCAGTAAGGAAGGAGCCAGTAGATAGGAAGAGATTGAAGGTTAGAGATGATTGAAGGAACTGTCTGCTCAAGGAGACTGGAAAGGATCACATCAAAGGCACATATAGAGTAGTTGGATGGTAAATTTTAAGATGAAAAGAAGGGGGAAAGTAGAGAAGACAGCAAATAGCCTCGGTTTTTTTTAGTAAAGAGGTAAAGTAAAGTAAGATGAGGGTGAGAGAATAAAATACAGACTCCTCTCTTTGGCTTTTAAAGCCCTTTACGATGTAACTGCAGCCTACCTTTCCAGGCTTACTATGCATTACTCTTGTTTACTCATTCTGGCCAGTAACTTCCCCTGTATATGACAGACTCTGTCCCATCTCTGGCTAGATGGTACAGTTAATAGAATGTTGGACCTAGAATCAGGAAGACCTGAGTTCAAATGTAGCCTTACTGTGTGCCCCTGGACAAGTAACTTGACTGTGTTTGCGTCAGCTTCACCCTCTGTAAAATGGGGGTAATAATAGTACCTACTTCCTGGATTTGTTTTGAGGATAAAACAACATAGTATTTATAAGGTATTTTGTAAACCTTAAAGTGCTGTATAAATGTTAGCTGTTGTTATACCATTGCACAGGCTGTCTGCCAGGCCTAAAATGTTCTTTCCTGACCTCCACCTCTTAGAACTTGAAGTTGGCAACCTTAAAGGCTCAGCTCAAATGCCATCTCCTTCAGTAGGCTATTCATGATTCCTCTAATTGGTAGTTCTCCAAACCCTTGCCAAGTTGCTGTTTATGTATTTTGGTGTATGCCAAGTTTATTTATCTGTGAAAATGTTTTATCTCACAAAATTAGAATATAAGTTCCTTAATCATAAGGGTTATCTCATTTTTGTATTTGTGTCCCCTGCACCTCGCACACTAGCTGGCACATACTAGATTAATCCTCTTTATAACAAATCAGAACTAATGCTGTTTGCTTAGAAATGGTTACAAAATCATTCCTTGCCATACTTAAGATGTAAAGTAAAACCTCAATAATTTGTACCATTAAAAGCAAAGATAGCCTAAATTACATATTTCTTTTTAAGGAGATAAAACTTTATGAATTACAATTACCATGAAGTAATACTGTTATATATTAGAGTTTCTTAGGCAGTTTTAATGAATGGTTACGGGTGATTTGTAAGTAGCATGGTATTGTGAGTATTTCTGAAGTGTTGGAAGCAGTTTTCTTCAACTGCCTTAAACTGAAACCTTGTTTGAACTCTTACCTTCCTAGAGAATCCCTTCTTTTCATAATTCACTGGTATACCTAATCCTAATCTTTGTCTTAATTAGTAGGATCTTAGTTAATGAAGATTTCCTACATTTATGTAAAGGTGAATTTAGTTGGTTCATTTTAATCATCTTGCATTTTCAGAAAAACTTAGTTTAATAGCAAGTTAAAATTAATGAAATTTTTTGTTATAGTAGTTCATATGAAAGTGAGAGAAAATAAGTTGTAAATTAATTCCACCACCATCTTCTCATAGACTGTTTAGGAACTTCTGACCTTTAGAAATTATTTCCCCTTGCATAACTCCCATTAGTATTGTCCTGGACATAAAAACTATAGTTAAATTTAGGGTTGGAAGGACCCTTTTAGGTCGCATTGACTAAATCTGTCATTTTGCAGATGAGGAAATTGAAGCCCTGAAATTTACTATGGATAGCTCTCATTATCTGTGGCCTAATTTTCAAAGACATCCTTATGCCAAGTATGATTTGGAAAAGAAATTCAGAGCATGTTACTTTAAAATATATTTATAGATGCAGCATTGTATAGTGAAAAGAACAGTGGAGTTAAAGTCAAGAGACCTAGGTTTAAATGCCATCTTAATAGTTATATGACCTTGTACAAATTACTTAAAGGCCCTAAGTTTCGGTCGTCATCTGTAAAAGTGATATAATTATATTTACCTAGTACCCACCAACTTCACAAAGACGTTGTGAAGAAAGCATTTTGTAAAGTATTAAATAAATATGAGGATTAGTATTTTTACCCCATGTTTTTATTTTTAAATACTTTGTATCAAAGCAAAAGACAACTAAGCAAATTTGTATTTGCCTACTGACATAACTTATCTGCTTTTATTTTCTTCATAAAATATTTCAAAATTAAATTCTTAAATTGGTTTAATATTTTCTATTTCATTAGGCAGTAGAGAGACTCTACCAAATGTTTTGGAAGGATTAGAACAGAAAACTAACTTGGAAACTGAGGTATGGCTGGGGATTCTATTATTCTGAATAATAATAGTGTAACATTTTTTGCCATATACCAAATTGGTCCAAATATAGATTATTCCCCATAAAATAAAATATATTTGAAAGAGAAAAACATTGCACTATATATTGGAAGATAATTATATAAAATTACCATGTTAACAAAATATATGTTGTGAAAATTGGATAATTGAGAGACATAAGAGCAATGCATACGCTTAGAAGCTACTTCTTAGGGACTAAAATGTCCATACCCTTTGACATAGAGATTTCTCTGCTAATTATATATCCCAAGGAAGTGACAAACAAAAAGAAAGGCTTCATATATGCCAGAATAATTATAGCAGCATTTTTTCTGGTAGCAAAGAATTGAAAACAAAGTAGATACCTATTAATTGGGCGATGGCTAAATAAATTGTGGTACAGGAATGTATTGAAATAGTACTGTGCTATTAAAAACATATGTACACACACACACAATAAATATTGAAAAGCAAGAAAAGACCTAAATGAACTGATGCTAAATGAAGTAAGAAGAGCCAGGAAAATAATATCCACAAAATGCACAAATAGAAAATATTTGGACTTCAGTAATGTAAATGGAAAGAAGTTGCCACACATTTGGAAACAATTGTTAGAAAATTACAAACAAGCTTGACTCCACAGAAAACATAAGAAGACCTCAACCCTACAAAACTTGATAGAAGTAGGGAATCTGTAAGTGTGGAACACTATGTATATGATCAGTTTTGCTGAATTTTTTTTCTTTTCCTCTTTTATCTTTTTTCTTTTGAAAAAATCTTTCTATCAGGTGGCTCTTTGTATAGGGCAAGTGTAAAGGATCAAAGAAGAAATCTAGATGATTAAAAATACAAAAGCTGTCAGTGTTGTTTGGGGGGGGCGGTGTTCTAAGCTACCCGTCATCAGGGCTAACAGCAAAAGGATCTTAGGCTCTGTCCCATCGGCTGGTGCTGTTAATGTCACTGACATAAAAGGCTGTGTGATGTGGATGAAAGAACACTATACATAATACAGTTAGCCCCCCTGCCTCATACCACAGAAGGCTAGGGGCAGGGCAGACAAAAGCCAGTCAGAGCATGATTATGCCGTAAGCCATGTTTTAGGGGAAAGTATAGTCTTTATTTGGACCAATAGGGTGGGTATATGCTTATGTTTAAATAGTACATAACATCTATCTTTGTTGTACTTAATATTCTTACAAGTAGAAATCATCTTCTCTCTTATTGAAATTACTTGTAACAGGAAGCTTTGCTTCCTTTCAGATATACCGTAGCCAAATAATTCAGCATTCCCCAAAATGACAACTCCCCAAACCCAGTTAGAGTACCGTGCCATGATGGGCACTTAGTTGATTTTCAGATTTGTTTTAATTTCTGCACAAGGCCATCCTACACTTGTTAGGGAGTTAATACTCTAAGGCTTAAGCAGAAAATCCTATGTTCTTCTATGGATGAAGCATGGGAAAACAAGGTGAGCAGTTTCCTTCATAATTAAATGTCAGAGTTCTTGTGGTTTTTGAAATCAGTATTATCAGTTGCTGGGTTTTTTTTAATCTGTGTATGTTAAAATCATGAACCAAATATTTGTTGTAAATCATTTTCTGATACTTCAGTGTTCACTACAGTTAAGCTGGACTTCTGTTTGGGCATTATTTTGCTTTTTCTTCAATTTGGATCTCTAGATTACTGTGCTTTCAGAAGAGGAGAAAAATCAGTATATTTCAAAAATACCAGAAGGCCTTGATGGAGAAGGAGAAAGTGGAATAGGTAAATCTCATTGTGATAATAATTGTTTTGTTTTATTTTGTCCGTTTTGATACAGACTTACCCATGGCAGATAAAAGTTTCAGGGCACAACAGTATGTATGTTAAATTATGTCTATCCTACACTTCTGAAATTAATTCAAGGAGAATAACTAAATTCTATCTTCACAATCTTGTTCTCTTCTTTGAGAACAAGTGTTGGGTAAAGTTGCTATTTGAATTTGATATCATCATAGGTAAAAGGAATGGTGACTTTTCTTTCACAAAATCTTCAACCTAGCCAAAGGCCTAAAACAAGAGTCAGTAATCTACAGCCCAAGGGCTAAATCTGACTCACTAGCCTGATGTTTTTGGGGAAGTAAGCTAAGAATGGTTTTTTTACATTTTAAAATAGAATAAAACTTTACTAAAAAAAAATGTAAAACCCATTCTTATCGCCTTTTACATTTGCCAGCCCCAGGTCTGAAAGGTAGAGCTGAAAACAGAACAGGTTGGGCAGCTAGGTGGTGCAGTGGATAGAGCACCAGCACTGGATTCAGGAGGACCTGAGTTCAAAACCGGCCTCAAACACATAACACTTATTAGCTGTGTAACCCTGGGCAAGTCACTTAACCCCATTGCCTAGCAAAAAAAAAAAAATCACAAAAAAACCAGAACAGATTATGCAAATAGTATCTAAAATGAAAACTCAGAATATTCTACTTATGTTCACTGTATGGAAAAGACCTAATTCTGTGTTGATTGCTATTAGCATTGCCATGCTTGCCATTAGTAATATCTGAGGGTGGGGAGGGTGCTGCAAAAGATGGAAGTATATAGTCATAAGAAACTGCTTAGGTCAAAGTTTAGTATTTTCCAAATTTGAGATAACAGTAAGATTCAACTGAGATATAAAACTAGCAATGTTGATCAAATTTTAATCTTTTAATGGTAATAGTTGATAACTATCCGGTGATTTTTATTAATATAGAAAAATTACAGTGAGAAGTTGCTCTACCAATGCAGATGGGCGGCTGTTATGCAAATTAAAGTTAGGAGAGTCATATGGGCCCTGAGAGGTTAAGTTGCTTGTATAATAGGGTCATCTCACTAATATGTGTTAGAGGCAGGACTTTAACCCAGGGCTGCCTGACTCTGAAACCAGTTCTCTCGATATACACTCCAACATGTGGTTTCACTCACTTGTTGTAAGTGACTGTTTGCTTAAGTATTGCTAAGTACTCAGAAAGAACACTTTTCTCAGAATCAAGAGTTCCGAGCTTGAATCCTGGCTCTGACACTTCCTAACTTGTGTGATTCTATTCACTTATTTTCTTTGGACTTCTGTTTCTTTACTTACAAAATGAGATTGATAATACCTAAGCTTTCTACATCCCATGGTTTTAATGAGCCCCTGTGCTGGCCTTAAGGTACTATATAAATGCAAGTTGTTTTCAAGTCAAATCAACAGGCTTTTAAGTGCTTATTCTGAGCCTGGTACTGGGCTAAGTGATAGGAATACAAATAGAGGCAGAAAGACACCCCTTTCAAGGAGCTTACATTCTAATGGGGGGAGACATCACACCAAAGGAAACTGGAAAGGAATCCCAAGAATAAGGAGTAGAGAGAGCAAAGAAGATATGGCCAACTTGGTCACTTTCCTTAATGGAGGTTCTGAGAGGAACCATCCCTTCAGAGAATGGGGCTGCAGGAATAGAGGGAACTTCATGAGGCCCTGGTTTTTGCCTGGTAGAGAAAGTCAGTAAAATCAGGAGGGGACCACAGAAGAATTATCTTAATTTTATATTACAACATAGAATCTCTTCAGAAAGCATTTATTAAACACTTAGTAGGTGCTAGAGACTACGGATAGAAAAAACAAAAATGAAATCACCCTTCTGAAGAAGTTTACATTATTGGGAAAACAATATGCATATTGAAAATGAAATACAGAAAATGCAGAGTAATTTCAGAGAAGAGAGAATTCAGATAGACTTCTAGTAGGAAAAGAGTGAGCTTTGAATGAAGCTAAGGATTCCGTGAAGGGAGACCGCATTGGAGACAGCCAGTGGAAAGGCATGGAGACTAGAAAAGGAATATCATATACAGGGAATAGCAAGGCTAGTTTGGGTGCACCAGAGTACATGAAGAATATATACACACATAATATTTGTATATACATATATACACTTATATGTACATATATGTGTGTATGTATGTATAAATAATATTGCTTATATATACTTAACACATACTACATTATGTATTTATACATACATACATTTGATATGGTAAAGCCTGTGCTTTAGGAATATCAATTTGGCAGCAGTGTGGAGCATGGATTTGAAAAAGAAGAGAGTGGCTACAGGGAGATCAATTAGGAAGTTATTGTAATAGTTGATTGAAAATATGTTAAGGAATTGAACTAAAGCAAGAGGCTAGATAAGTTAGAGAGAAAGGGGCAGAAGTAAAAGATGGTAAGGAAGTAAAATTGACAAGACGTAGCAATTTAGGATATGAGGAATGGAGTAGAGGGAAGAGTCACAATAGTCTCTTTGGTTGTCAACTTAGATGACTAGAAGGGTAGCTTCAACAGAAATAAAAGAGTTGGGCAGAGAGTTTGGGGGGAAAGATGAGTTCTGTTTTGGACTTGCAGAAGTTGAGGTGCCTGTGGAATATCTATTTGAGATTATACATCAGGCAGCTGGTCATGCGAGACTGCAGTTCAGGTGAGAAACTGGGTCTACATATATAGTTCTAGTAGTTATCTACGTAGAGGTACTTTAATGATGCTTTAATACTTTAATCCATGGAAATCTGTCGAGATACCCAAGAGCAAGTATAGAGAACAGACCCCAGGACAGAACCCTGGGATATATTCACACAAAGAGGTGGAACAGAGATAATAATCCTGAATAGGAAACTGAGAAGTATCTAGACAGGTAGGAGAACAAGGAAAGAGTAGTCTCACAAAAACCCAGGGAGAAGATGCCTACAGGGAAGGATGGCAGCAATGCCATATCCTGCAGAGACGTTAAGTAAGAAAAGACTAAGAAGAGACCCTCCTGTTTGACAGTGATCATTGGTAGCCTTGAAGAGAACATTTTCAGTTGAGTGATACAATCTGAAGCAAAATTACAAGGAATTTGTGAAGTAAGGTGAGAAAACAGACTAATTTGGTTAAATTTCTTCTCTCAATGTTTAGTGAGAGATATTCATTATGCCAAATTAAAGTTGAGTTCTGGTTCTACCATTGACAGGGTTTGTGAACTTTATTATGCCAAATTAAAGTTGAGTTCTGGTTCTACCATTGACAGGGTTTGTGAACTTTAATTGGGTTTTTACCCTTTCAATAGTTCATACTCCATACTTGTAAAATGCTTTTAATTTTTCAGGATAGGATTATCACTTTGAACATTCTTCAAAATATTGTAAACAATATTCATTTACCCAGCCAGCTGTCCACTTTAGAATCAGAATCTTGGCATTGGAAGGGAACTTTGATACCATACATCCTAGGAAATGTTTATAGAACATTACATATAAGTATGTAGAGAGCAATATAGAATATAGTTCATTGTCTCTTAGATCTTATTCTTTGGCTTCTTTTTTCTTTTCCTTACTGATTTCCTGTAATACTGATTATCCTTGGTAAAATTATTTTAGTGAGAAAGTAAAGAAACAGTAATTTCATATTACTACAATTAGTTTTTAATCCTTTTTAAACTGCTTGTTAGCATTATTTGAGAACTGCAATAAGTATTGACACTTGACTAAATTGAATTTTCGGTATTAAATCTATGATTAATTTAAAATTTGAATAAAAGTCTATCTCTTGCATTAATAGAATTGTTATATATCTTTAAGTTTTCCAGTCATTTCATTCTGGTGTCTTCATTAACAAGAAGCACACAGAGATTTACATCTTGGAAAGAGTATTTATTGTGGAAAAGACAGCAGGTCATAAATTGATCTTTTTGACCACTTATAGAAGTTTTCATTATTGTTGTTCAGTTGGTCATTCAGTCATAGTCTTACTCTTTGTGACCCCATGGACCAGAACATGCCAGACCCTTCTGTGCTCCACTGTCTCTTGAAGTCTGTCCAAGTTCGTGTTCATTGTTTCCATGACACTATCTCATCCTCTGCCATCCAGTTTTCCTTTTGCCTTCAATCTTTCCCAGCATTGGGTCTTTTCCAATAAGTACCGTCTTCTCATTGAGTGACAAAAGTATTTAAGCTTCAGCTTCAGTATTTGACCTTCCAATTCCAATGAATTCCATCCTGAATTAATTTTAAGTATTGACTGATTTGATCTCCTTGCTATCCAAGGGACTCTCAAAAGTCTTCTCTAGCACCACATTTCAAAAGCATCCATTCTATGACGCTTAGCTTTCCTTGTAGTCCAACTCTCACAGCCATACATTTCTGCTGGAAAAACTGTAGTTTTGACTATATGAACCTTTGTTGGTGATGTCTCTACATTTTAGTATGTTGTTCAGATTTGCTATAACTTTTTTTCCAAGGAACAAACATCTTTTAATTTCATGGCTGCAATTGCCATCTGCAGTGATCTTTGAGCCCAAGAATATAAAATCTGACACTGCTTCCATTCCTTCTCCCTCTGCTTGCCAGGAAGTGATGGGCCATTCGGCAAGTTCTTGGGTTTTTTTATGTTAAGCTTCAAGCCAGGTTTTACACTCTCCTCTTTCACCCTCATCAAGAGGCTTCTTAATTCCTCTTCATTTTCTGCTGTCAGAATGGCGTCATCTGCGTATCTGAGATTGTTGGTATTTCTCTTAGAAACCTCAATTCCAGCTTTTGATTCATCCATCCTGGTATTTCGCATTATGTACTCTGCATGTAAGTTAAATAAGTTGACGATATACAGCCTTGTCTTACTCCTTTTCTAATCTTAAACCAATCAGTTGTTCCATGTTTGGTTCTAACTGTTGCTTTTTGGCCCATACAAAGCAGGATGATCTGGTTCTCCCATCTCTCTGAAGACTTGACACATTTTATTG